GCGTTTAATCGCACCTTTTACGTTGCAAGAGTGATCCCGCCACTAGGGCGTTCATTCGCACGTATATCCCAAAGACGAGTTACGTGACCGTAAATGATCTACATCAAACCTACAAAATTAATTTGATTTAGAAGGTTACGTAGCCAAACACTTGCACCTAATGTTACAAGGTACTCAAAATTTTCAATTGGTAAAAGTACTTGTAGCAGGTGATGTAGTTGCAAATCCACTGGATGGTGGTCAGTCTTCTCAATCAGACTGCAATTTCTAGGATCACTGGTATCATCAAACAGAAGCACGTTTAGGCTCGTGGACACAATTCGTGTATGGCGGCATCTGCCTGACCGGCGATCGTGAGGGTTCCCACAGCGTTAAGCTTTATGTGGTTGATAGCTGCAATTAAGATCAGCGTTGCCCTACGTCTCTTAACCCGGATACGCGTGATATTGTTCCCGTTCTGACTAGCGCTCAATTACAGGTTATCATTTTAGAAGGTAAATGGGGACGAACCCCTTGCCAATTTAAGAATTACATTCACTCAGAATGTATCTTTTAAATCTCAATACCAAATCCCGACCTCTCCGAGCATCGGAATCGTCACACATACCGTCTCGGGTGTGACCGATCCATGTGTAGTGTGTGGTTTGAGGATTCAAAATTCGATTGAGCCTGCGCTAAGTCAAATACGACTATCCGCCTTTAAGGATAGAAGTGTGCTCTGTTGTTTCGACTTTGTTTAGTCTCTTCAGTGGTAGATAGGTCCGAAGACCACTACCAGACAACAGTAAGTGTGTTTTGCGTGGAACTTGTTCATTGCGAGATTCCAGCATTCACTGGGCAGTACGAGCGTTCGACTCGCTTTTACAAACTCTGTGTGACAGTGGAAGAATTTAGCAATCCACAATGTCAAGAGTGCCCTACTTTTCAAGATTTCACAGAGACTATATACATTGATTAATTAATTATACCTCAATTAAGTTTAAAATGACTTTGATTAGTCGTATCGAAATTCAGAAATGTCTACTAGAGACAGCTGAAGTTGGGTTCCAGATTCCAGGAACCAATCAGCAAGTGATGACAGATTTCAGTCATCCAAAGGCACTGGACGTGAAAACAAATAAACATCAAAATTGATGAGTCCGTCCACAATAATTTAAGAACAATGAGTAATACTCAGGTGTGCCTGGTCAACTCTAAGTTGACAATTTCATCTTTTCAGAATTTAGAAACATCAAAATTCAAAATTTCAGTTGGACGATGAAAAATTTAATTCGTCCTTAACATATTACATATTATTATTTCAATCTGTCGTGCACTAAAGTGTGCACCTGATGAGGTATGGGCTGTTTAGCCCTGAGACCGAAACAGATGATACCGTTATGCGTTTAATCGCACCTTTTACGTTGCAAGAGTGATCCCGCCACTAGGGCGTTCATTCGCACGTATATCCCAAAGACGAGTTACGTGACCGTAAATGATCTACATCAAACCTACAAAATTAATTTGATTTAGAAGGTTACGTAGCCAAACACTTGCACCTAATGTTACAAGGTACTCAAAATTTTCAATTGGTAAAAGTACTTGTAGCAGGTGATGTAGTTGCAAATCCACTGGATGGTGGTCAGTCTTCTCAATCAGACTGCAATTTCTAGGATCACTGGTATCATCAAACAGAAGCACGTTTAGGCTCGTGGACACAATTCGTGTATGGCGGCATCTGCCTGACCGGCGATCGTGAGGGTTCCCACAGCGTTAAGCTTTATGTGGTTGATAGCTGCAATTAAGATCAGCGTTGCCCTACGTCTCTTAACCCGGATACGCGTGATATTGTTCCCGTTCTGACTAGCGCTCAATTACAGGTTATCATTTTAGAAGGTAAATGGGGACGAACCCCTTGCCAATTTAAGAATTACATTCACTCAGAATGTATCTTTTAAATCTCAATACCAAATCCCGACCTCTCCGAGCATCGGAATCGTCACACATACCGTCTCGGGTGTGACCGATCCATGTGTAGTGTGTGGTTTGAGGATTCAAAATTCGATTGAGCCTGCGCTAAGTCAAATACGACTATCCGCCTTTAAGGATAGAAGTGTGCTCTGTTGTTTCGACTTTGTTTAGTCTCTTCAGTGGTAGATAGGTCCGAAGACCACTACCAGACAACAGTAAGTGTGTTTTGCGTGGAACTTGTTCATTGCGAGATTCCAGCATTCACTGGGCAGTACGAGCGTTCGACTCGCTTTTACAAACTCTGTGTGACAGTGGAAGAATTTAGCAATCCACAATGTCAAGAGTGCCCTACTTTTCAAGATTTCACAGAGACTATATACATTGATTAATTAATTATACCTCAATTAAGTTTAAAATGACTTTGATTAGTCGTATCGAAATTCAGAAATGTCTACTAGAGACAGCTGAAGTTGGGTTCCAGATTCCAGGAACCAATCAGCAAGTGATGACAGATTTCAGTCATCCAAAGGCACTGGACGTGAAAACAAATAAACATCAAAATTGATGAGTCCGTCCACAATAATTTAAGAACAATGAGTAATACTCAGGTGTGCCTGGTCAACTCTAAGTTGACAATTTCATCTTTTCAGAATTTAGAAACATCAAAATTCAAAATTTCAGTTGGACGATGAAAAATTTAATTCGTCCTTAACATATTACATATTATTATTTCAATCTGTCGTGCACTAAAGTGTGCACCTGATGAGGTATGGGCTGTTTAGCCCTGAGACCGAAACAGATGATACCGTTATGCGTTTAATCGCACCTTTTACGTTGCAAGAGTGATCCCGCCACTAGGGCGTTCATTCGCACGTATATCCCAAAGACGAGTTACGTGACCGTAAATGATCTACATCAAACCTACAAAATTAATTTGATTTAGAAGGTTACGTAGCCAAACACTTGCACCTAATGTTACAAGGTACTCAAAATTTTCAATTGGTAAAAGTACTTGTAGCAGGTGATGTAGTTGCAAATCCACTGGATGGTGGTCAGTCTTCTCAATCAGACTGCAATTTCTAGGATCACTGGTATCATCAAACAGAAGCACGTTTAGGCTCGTGGACACAATTCGTGTATGGCGGCATCTGCCTGACCGGCGATCGTGAGGGTTCCCACAGCGTTAAGCTTTATGTGGTTGATAGCTGCAATTAAGATCAGCGTTGCCCTACGTCTCTTAACCCGGATACGCGTGATATTGTTCCCGTTCTGACTAGCGCTCAATTACAGGTTATCATTTTAGAAGGTAAATGGGGACGAACCCCTTGCCAATTTAAGAATTACATTCACTCAGAATGTATCTTTTAAATCTCAATACCAAATCCCGACCTCTCCGAGCATCGGAATCGTCACACATACCGTCTCGGGTGTGACCGATCCATGTGTAGTGTGTGGTTTGAGGATTCAAAATTCGATTGAGCCTGCGCTAAGTCAAATACGACTATCCGCCTTTAAGGATAGAAGTGTGCTCTGTTGTTTCGACTTTGTTTAGTCTCTTCAGTGGTAGATAGGTCCGAAGACCACTACCAGACAACAGTAAGTGTGTTTTGCGTGGAACTTGTTCATTGCGAGATTCCAGCATTCACTGGGCAGTACGAGCGTTCGACTCGCTTTTACAAACTCTGTGTGACAGTGGAAGAATTTAGCAATCCACAATGTCAAGAGTGCCCTACTTTTCAAGATTTCACAGAGACTATATACATTGATTAATTAATTATACCTCAATTAAGTTTAAAATGACTTTGATTAGTCGTATCGAAATTCAGAAATGTCTACTAGAGACAGCTGAAGTTGGGTTCCAGATTCCAGGAACCAATCAGCAAGTGATGACAGATTTCAGTCATCCAAAGGCACTGGACGTGAAAACAAATAAACATCAAAATTAAACCTATGTACTCGTTAAACCTAATGTTATTTAAATAGGTTTAATTTAATAGAAAATTAATTCGGACAAATGGAAATTCGCTTAGTCGGCGGGTTTGCTGCGGCGGGGGTATTCCTATTTTGCTTGGGCTATGGTAGGCATAGGCCTACATAAAATATTCTTGTAGGTTATAAACTAAGGAACAATAATAGCCTATTTCATATTGTAGGCAGTAGCCTAACTTAAAAAATGTTATTGCCCGTTTATGATAGAGTCTAGAAAAATTGGTACATCAGATATTTGTTACTTTTTATAAGATCATGCCAACCTATTTCCCAATAATCATATAAGTTATTCTTTGCTATCAATGTATCATTCAAATAATCGATACTAAAATACCGTATACAACAAATCTTCTGCTGTCCAGTGGTACCACCCACTTACAGATAGGAACAAAACTGAAATCGCTATGATTTTCTTAAGTTTAGGTGTTTAGCGCTTGTCTGGTAGTCAATTTGCACTCAAATGTAATTTGCAATTACGTTGACATAGGTACTGATGCTAGAAGGTTCATATAAATAATATTTTTAAATGAATGTTTAGAATGCCATGTTTCAAATGGTATTGTAGGCCTACATCAATTGTCCACTTAAGAGTTAAACAGGCTTATCAATTATTTTGTAGCATTAGAAAATTGTTGGACATTAATGGACCAGATTGGTCCATGGCCATTTTAAGGGTGAGTGGTGAGATGGACTATTTTGTTCCATTGGCCACTGTTTTGTTTAACTCATAATCATCTTCAAGTAACCAAACCCATTTACAACTAGGGTCTACCCACACTCAATCGTCACAACTCACTCGTTTGCAAAAATATAATAATATAAGTAGCCTCCCTATAGTTATTTGAGGTTGTTATCAGAAATAATGTTAGGCTACATTTTTTGTCCAATTCGAAAATCTTGTGTAGTTTAATCAATAAGAAAATAACAATAGGCTTAAATAAGGCCGTCCCGATTCTGTCGGGACAGTGCCGATATTGGTTCCTTAAGTTATGCCCGTATTTTAGCCTACATATGTTAATCCGGGGGGGGGGGGAACACCTTGGTGACCTAACCTAACTTACCTGGTTTTTTTAGTTTTCCAGAACTTCCCTGATTTACATTTTCCTCTAGGAGTATCGTTTCTGACTCCACTGTCACTTTCACTGTCAGTTTCTGTATTTTTATCCACGACAGGCTTGTTCTTGAGAGAATCAGGGATTAAACTTTCAAACGAAATAATAGGTTGGTTGTCACTGACAGTAACCATTATGACCTACGCTCCTGTCTCACAAAACAAATATTTGTATAAGTAATTAAAATCCTTTACAGACTAATATAAAAAACTGTTATCAATAGAATAAAGAATGACAACTTATGGTCCTAATTGGAAATGCTAAATACATACTACTTATTATAGCATTAAGGTTGCTTACAGGTTAAGCCTTTTAGCTTTCTTAGGATTAGGAAGAAGAAAGGAAGGCAACGGAACGGAACGGAGGGAGAGGGAAGGGAATGGAAGGGAACTGGGAAAAAGGACAGGACGAGGACACGTACATATGAGAGAGGTTTTTTTCCTCTAGTTTGCTTAGCAGGCTTCGGTTTAATAGACCAGGCAGCCTCGATGTACACAGTTGTGGTTGCTCCAATTCATCCTGCAATAAATTAAGGTTGTTTGTTAGTTTATAAAAATTGGTTATTGAACATAAATGTGCACATTCAATGTTTCATGTTGATATTGTTCTAGTTTTTGTTATTGTTAATGTGCCTAATTATGTATTAAAGATAGGATTATCTAAAGGTTCAAGGGATTCTTTAGAATGGTAGAGATAAGTGATATTCTTTGCCAGGGGCCCATCAAGCATTCCTAACTACCCAGAAGAGGACAACATAAATGTGATTCTAATAGTGTTTGTGTTTCTTTGTTCTTATAAATTGCTTTTCCAATTCCTTTAAATAATTGCCCATTTCCTTGTAAATATGATCATTTCCAGATTTCAGGGCTTAGAGAGAGTTTAGGTTCAGAAAAGAAAAAGAAAAGAGATAAATACACTGAGCTATAATTCTAACTGGAGGTAGCACTGAATGTCAAAGATGCGTGTCGCCAGCCGCCATGTTTGCGTGAGGTGGGTGTCCATAAGAAGCCATGTTATTGCTATAACTATTATTATACTTGGCTTAAAATACCTACTTTGTATGGTCGCCATTTCAAAGAAAATTATTAAAGTATTAAAAGTATTCAAGTATGACAAAAATACTCACTGCTATACCAACCTAGTTATAAGAAGCCATGTTATTGCTATGGTAAGAAAACTTACTGCTATACCAACCTAACAAAATCAGCGACTCGCTTTTGACAGACTTCTGCCATGGCAGTGCTACCTCCAGTTATAATTTTAGCTCAGTGGATAAATATAACCAAAGCATGTTATAAATAATAATATAATATAACAAATATATATAAAATAATAATATACTCTGTATGTTATAAATATAACCATATTTGGCGTTGAAAGACAAGCCATGCAGCTTCTAAGTCTTTTCTCAATAAAACGGGATTATATTTTCTATCTGAACCTGAACCTTTGATTTCAAAGATTGGTTTAGTACCTATTCACTTGCCGCGCATCGTTGCAGGCGTTTTATGGTAAAGGTAAACCAATACCACCGTTTTGCCGTTTACTAGTCGTGCAGCGTTAAAGAGAGCTTAGTACAGTATGTTAATAATGTCATAGCACATCAGTATGCGAAAAATGACCACCGTAAATTGGGACTTGAAATTAGATGAGTTAAGATTTGCTATGAATACCGCAAAAAAACACAAGTCTATGGGGTTTACTCCTGCAATGCTAAAATTTTTGCCGAGAGCTGAGAGCATCCAACCTGGTCTCACATGTGGCCCATCACTGGATCATAAACACCTGCTAGACACTGGTGATTTTGATGCCGACACTCACCTCAGTAGCCTAAAGGTCATGGAACAACTGCGAGCTCAATGTCCAACGCCATGCTAAAGCTGCATTTCAAAACCAGGCGAAATATACTACAACTTGCGCCTTGAATAAGGTATATGTTTAAAAAAAGTATCTACTATCTTGTTAACATTGTTTATACAAAAGTAAAAGAAAAATATTTTCACATATTGCATTTAACTATAAAGTATGTTTCAACATTTATTTAGAAATGGTTGCCTAAATATAGGTAGATTGATTTTCATAATTTATTTTCCAGGATACAAAGGAGAAGTTTTTGATAAGGATATTTTACAGGGCGTTTTTTTTTTAACTTGCATCTTTATTTATGTAAAAACCGCAATAGATAGAAATAAGTAGTTTGCGGGAATCATCTATTGACATAGGGGGCCCAATTGTTTTGAATTCAACGTTACAAACACACATTCCCCCCTGGCTCCAACTTATCTTTTGTAAATAGCAAGGTACCCCTTGTGACATATCAAATGAAAAAGCATGAAAAAAGAAAATTTTTGGTGAAAAAAAATTAAAATCGGCTCATAAGTTTGTGAGATATTTCACCCCCTTTCTCTCCCTACCCTTAACTTAAAATTTTGAAATTGCAAGATATCCCTTGTGACTTATCAATTGAAAGGGCATGTAAAAAGAAAATGTTTGGTGAAAGAAACTTTGTAATCGGAAAAATTAACAATTACATTGTTATTAATGCTACATTTTTCTTCAACATTTTTTAAAGTTTTAACTTAAAGTAAATTACAGTATCATGAATAATGGCAATTACATAATATCTAACAACACAATATGGCTAAGGCTAAAGCTGTAAGTATTAATAACACATCCTGAAATATCTTACAAATTTAGAACCCGATTTAAAAAATTGTTTAATTAAAAATGTTCTTTTTTCGTGCTGTTTCATTTGATATGTCACAAGGGATATCTCGTAATTTAAAATTTTTAAGTTAAGGGTAGGGAGAGAAAGGGCGTAAAAAATCTCACAAATTTATAAGCCGATTTAAAAAATTTGTTCACCAAAATTTTTCTTTTTTTATGCTCTTTCATTTGATATGTCACAAGGGGTACTTTGCTATTTAAAAAAATTAAGTTGGGGGCAGGGGGGGGAATGTGAATGTAACGTTGAATTCAAAACAATTGGGCCCCCTACGTCAATAGATGATTCCCGCAACTGCATATTTCTATCTATTGTGGTTTTTACATAAAAAAAGATGAAAGTTTAAAAACCTTGTATATTGAGGAAGATCGAAGGATTAGTTTGACTTATATATAGGTATTTGAAACTTTTAATAATTAGTCTAAAAATAATTCATAATAATTACACAACATCATTAAATGGCTACTCAGTTCCTATCAGTGTTTTAAAGAGGGCTCGGGATTGGAAGAAATTGCTCCGATGTTCCGTTCCAATTTTAATTCCGCTGTACCGTTTCCAGACCTCGGCTATTTTCGGTATGATTCGGAAGCGTTCGGCTCGGCCTGGCACGGCGGTGGGGGGTGGTCTCGTCACATGACCTTTTTATGTATCATGGACACCTTTTTAGATAGAAAATATGGATATACTACAAAAGAACAAACTAAAGACTATAAAGAAGAAACTTATTGACTTTTATGGCTCCTCCTGACCTACCCTTTAAACATTGGGTATCATGTTGAAGGTCAATCAATTTGTACAAAAATTATTTTACTAGCTTGCCCGACAGACGTCGTCCTGTCCTAATGTGGTTTTATGTTAAATGCTCGTTCATTTTCAAGATGAGCTCGTTCAAATGGCTCAATCACGTCCTGGTTGAAGTTCGTTCGCTACGCTCACTCACCTTTAGGTTAGAGCTCAACCAAAATTAGCTGTAGTCATAAATTAAGAAAAAAATAATAGTGCTGCACCCTGTTGGTAAACCTATTAGCTTTGTAATGCTATTGAACATCACAGAATCAAATTGTTTAATTGAATTAGCTGTTAAGATTCTTTAATTCCATTTAAATATGAGTACTCATAAGGTTAACATGGGGAACTCCAGAGCCACTGGGGCGGAGCCCTTTTGGATCTGCATCAAACTTCACACAAACCATGATTTTACATACCATAACAGACATCTGTGCAAAGAATTAGCTTTATACCTCGCATTTCCGGGTAAAAACCTGAATTGACTGGGCTATCAGTAGAATTTTCAATATCAGTAATTGAATTACCGAAGTTTTAAGATTGATATCATCAGCATATATGCTTAATATACTGGCTGACTCAGTCAATACATTTGGGAGGTTTTTAATGTAGCATATAAATAAAATAGGTCCTAAAATAGAACCCTGAGGGACCCCTAGATGCATTTGTAGTAAATCTGATTTTGTCTTCTGTATCCAATTGGTTTTTAGCAAATTTCCCATATAGGGAATAAGCTATTACCATAGGTTTAATGGTAAGACCTAGACCCGGGACCGGTTTACTTTTTCGTTTTGAGGTCCCCAGAGACCAAAAACACCATCGTTCAAATTCATATATATATATATATGTGTCCGTTAGCGCGACAACTTGAGCAAAATGATCCGATTTTGATGAAATTTGGTACAAACGTGTAAACCTACGTTTATTCGAACAAGTTCGCGAACCAGCATAATCGGACCATGGGAACAGTGGTTTATGGGGGGTTTTATGGGGTAAAAATGGGGTTTTCCCATTTTTGACCCTAAAAACAAAAAATTTTGCAATTTCTTTCTCAACCATTTTGTAGAGCTTAAAAAAAAGAAATAATTTATTATATTGAAGCGCTGTTGTATGCCTAACGGTCACGGAGAAAATAAAAAAAACTGTAATTTAAAATTCCCATGTTATTCTTGTGGAGAAAATGAAAACTGTTGTAGTTTACTTGTTTATGGATATATATTGATAAAATTTGGCAAATTTATTTATTTCATCCTATACTATTGACATATGGTCAAAAAACGCTTTTTACCTTCCCCGTAGCAGCAAACCTAAGCACTTGTTAAATCTAATGTTATTTAAATTGGGAATAAATATGTCTTATTTATGGAAATATTTTAGTAAAAATGTAATCAGACAAGTTAAGTTGAAATTCGCTTAGTCTGCAGGTTTGCTGCGACGGGGGTATTGATAAATAAGAGAGTTCTACAAATTGATAGCGATTCTCCAAATATGAAATAAACCATTTATGTGCAACACCCTTAATGCCCATTATCTTAAGCTTGTTTAGCAATACCATATGATCTATGATGTAACCGTCTTATGATAAAACATATAACTTAATTAATTTTTAAACTGATAAGAAATATGCTAGGCTAGTTTGAGAATGTTTTGAAGGGTTATTTGGGATAATGTGTCACACTCATTAAGTTATGTTTCAAATTGTAAATGTTCACTGTAATGTTAAATGGATATTTTATAAGTTAGTGTGTAAAATCCATACAATTTTCTTTACTTTTATGGGTTTATAAATATTGTTCAATAACTTAAATTCTTGATTCAAACAGTTTATTCTACTAATAAATTATTTACACATTAAACGGCCATTTAAATAAAAAAAATTATATAACTATGACTTTATTTGTTGTAAATGATTTATCTACTTCTTTCAATTGCTGTATAGTAACCGTTACCTAAAGTAAGTGTCCATTTCCATTTTTTATGTTTGCACCACCAGTGTTGGGAAGTAGCGTGCTACAAGTAGCGACGCTACAGTAGCGCGCTACTTTTTTTGTAGCGTTAGCTGTAGCTATGCTACTTTTAAGATTTTGTAGCTTTAGCTGTAGCTAGCTACATTTTTAAAGTAGTTGTAGCGGAGTTTTAGCTACTTTTCTCGCTACATTAACATTGTTTGAGATAGTGATTTTTATCATAACCTCAACCTTACGTGGACGTGAAACCTTTCAAACTGAGATTTTCAAAAAAATTAGACTGGCTTCATACACAGCTGGTTGCAGCCGTTTCATTCCCTATACAACGTTGTGTGGACATGGAGGCCATTAAATGAGCGTTATCCACATTTTTGCCTCTCATTTCCTTAATTTACTACTCTATGATTACTGTCAGATAAAATAAAATCGCTAGATGCAGACGACTTTTAAACGTTACCGGTGACAAGAGAAGCTATTGAATGCTTGCAAGTGATTGTCAGGGAAATTAGTAATCAATTTAGTTTCTTTATTATATCGATAGTGTTTCAACTTGGGTTTTAATGGAAACCAACACTAAACCTTAAAATAATGAGAAAGCTGGTCTATCAACCTTTGCTTCAGCTGTTGATTGTGGTTCATCACCACAAGCCCTTCATTGGTTAGATTACGAAGATTTTTCAAAGGTTTACTAAATTTACAAAGAGGAGATTACCTGATGTGATTTAAGATATGCCTAGACTAAATGATAATTGTAACGAAAAAATCTCCATATAACATGAAACTTACATTGAACAAATAGCATAATTTGCTCCTACTAACAGCTCTTGTATAGGACCATTGACTATACACCTATAGTCAATGATAGGACTATTCCTAGGCTATGCTATGGTTTAAGACAAATACCAAGTTCCAAGTTCAATTATTAGGAATATATCTGTTTAGTCCTTGCAAGAACAAGCCTACCATAGCCAGCTTGTTACATAGCCAAGTAGGCCTACATGTTATTTTTACTTGACAAATTTCAACATGTTTAAATTAAAAGCCGATTTCAGGATAAGTTGCTGAATACTGTTTTCTGTACCAACTATAGGTTGAAGCACAATTTTCCCTATGCATAATGACAATAAAGGACGATTTCTTGACATTGAAAAGTGTTATTCATAGAACAAGTAACTTATCACAATGGTTAAAAGTTATAGCAAAGTCGTTTTTAACATTAAAAGTAAAGAAAGGCAATATACTCCAATTTCAGTAGGTTAGGCTCTGTAACACAAACAAATTTTTAAATAATCGTTTTACAGTTTTATTGGTCTTAATTGTTTATATAAGACATCTATAAATGAATCTATATTAGAGAAATAAAATGAGGTTTTAAAATATAGTTTGGTTGTATGTCCTTTGAACTTAATGAAATTTACATATAAGATGCTTTAAAATAATGCAATATTTAAAAATAAGTACTAAATATGTTGGGAAACACAACTATTTGGTTTTGTTGTTGTAATGTTAGGTATATAATGCCAACAAATTAAATACAATCTAGGAATAATTTGTTTTCCAAGTAATGTTAGATACAATCATTGACTATACCTGTAGGTATATATAGTCAATGATACAATACTGACATTTTTTGTTTAAATGTTTGTTCAATAAAAATGAAGTTGCAATTAATTTTACATTTACCTAATATGCATGAAAAAAAGTAACGTCTTTGGAAAAGTAGCTAAAATTGAAGCTGTAGCTACATTTCATTGTAGCGTAGTTGTAGCTAGCTACTTTTTCGGATCTGTAGCTGTAGCTAAGCTACTTTTTTGGAAATGTAGCAGTAGTTGTAGCTAGCTACATTTTTAAAGTAGCTTTCCCAACACTGTGCACCACCTTACATGAGTAGAGAGTAAATGTGTAATTAAATAAGTTGGGATTTAAGGGGAAAAAACAGAAAACAGAAAAAAAAACTGAGTCGATAAAATCTACTAAGTTAGTTGGGCACTTCAATCAATCAATAATTTAGAATATACAGGGTGAACGATATAAGTGTACCAGCTGTTTTATCCGAAAACTATAAGAGATATCAAAAAAAGTGAAATGGTAAGTGCCTTGGATTTTTTATTTTAAAAATTGTAGTCAAGTCGAAAAAAAATTCTAGCCGCCATTTTTCCAATATGGCCGCCAACTTGGATTTTTCTTATGGAACACCCTGTATTTTATGATGTATTCCGGTAGAAAATGTAATTTTAAGACAATTTTACTGCTGTGTGTTTTTCATAAACCTAACCGTTTCAAAGATAATAGTGGTTAGTTTTTAAATTTCGGCACGAGAAAGAGTATCAATAAAGGCCTAAGCAAGCATGCCAGCTGTTTTATTCAAAAACTATTCGAAATTTCACAACTTTAACCATTATTATCTTTGCAACGGTTAGGTTTATGAAAAAAAAACACAAGAGTAAAACTGTCTTAAAATAACATTTTCTACCGGAATACATCATAAAATACAGGGTGTTCCATAAGAAAAATCCAAGTTGGCAGTCATATTAGAAAAATGGTGGCTAAAATATTTTTTTCGACTAGACTACAATTTTTAAAATAAAAAAGCCAAGGCACTTACCATTTAACTTTTTTTGATATCTCTTATAGTTTTCGGATAAAACAGCTGGCACACTTATTAATGCACATAATAAACTGGCTATTAGGCATAGTAGGATCTAAAGGAGAAACAATAAAAAAAACACAAAGTTTATTACAACAAATTATAATATTTGAAACCTGACATTGTGGTACAACCAAACAAGTAGGAACTATGAAACAACTTTATTAATGAAAAAAAAAAAAAAAAATCAAGCAACTAGAGTTCCTCAAACAACTTAACAAGTAGGAACTATGAAACAACTTCATTAATGAAAAAAATTGAGCAACTAGAGTTCTTAAAACAAACAATTCATTAATAAGTCTTTTTCCATTTCATCTATTTTGTCAGTAAGGTAAGCCTGCTGTTTTTTTATGAACCCTGCCCTAAAGCCACCTTTACAAAGACATAACATTTCAATAAATTTCTTTGGTTTAACTTACACCACATATAATGAGATCAATTGTTTGTACTGTAGTTAAATATAATTATAGCTAAATAACTATTAAGTCTCGTAGAAGTCACATACAATGTGTTTTTAAAGCATACAGAACACAATCTCATAAAGAGATTCAAGGCAATGTTTATATTCCTAATATACTCCACGGTCCTCTGTCAATCTGGAATATTCTTGAAGCTAGAAGTTGTCTTCTAAAACAATAACAAAAACATTAAAATAATATTTTCTTGCCACCCTGTCAAATTGAACAAATAACCAGCAGTGAAATATTCAAGTAGTAAACTTATGCAAATTTGGTGAAATACTCAAGAAGTAGACTTATGCAACTTATGCAAATTTAGTTACAAACTCAAGTAGTTAACTTATGCAAATTTGGTGAAATACTCAAGCCGTAAACTTATGCAAATTTAGTGAAATACTCAAGCAGTAAACTTATGCAAATTTTGTGAAATGCTCAAGTAGTAAACTTATGCAAATTTAGTGAAATACTCAAGTAGTACACTTATGCAAATTAGGTAGGTCCTAAGTATGTAACATAATAACATGGGAATCTACATATCATTTTGATAGTTCAAATATTGATCATTAATATATGACAACTAGGATTAAGCAAGAGCAATTAACTGAAAGCAGTATTGAGATAAACCAAAAATATCTTACACCAAATTACCCAGTTAAGGTCTTCGTCTTTTACTCCTTAATCCCTCACAACCTAAGGCCATCGATATATAAACACAATGGATCGCGCGCTGAGTAGCAGCTGTGCGGTCCGGCTACAGACAGCTCCCCCCACCACTTTCCGGGCATACCTGCAGCGCCATCATTTAATGCAATGTTATTTTACACTTGAATAACACCTACATCACATGTGATTGCATCGTTTAGCATTCGTTATCTATATTTTACAGTATTAACTAGTGATGGGCGGATCCAAGAAAATGTCGGTACCGGATCCGGATCCAGATATACACTGTCATAAGGGCGGGTAAAAAAAATGTAATTAACAGGAATGCCAATTTAAATCATACTATTTAAAATTAAATTGGTAATGTTTAAAGATTAATACATCTTATATACAGAGTAATCTCCAGTTGAGCTCATAATCCCTCATTATTCAAAATCATAAAATAAAACTTTGTCCTAAGTTTGCACGACCACCAAAAGGGTATCTGTGTATATTTACTATAGTTCGATCTTGAGTATGCTATATCGTGGTTTTTGCATGCAGCATCCAATTTATTTATGCGTGAATCACCTCTTGTTAATCTCTTCCTTAAATTTGTTCCAGGTCCACAGTACTGATTGATGGGTATGTGAAGTTCTACAGGTAAAATACCCTGTGTCTGTGTACAAGAAGACTGTATTGTGTTATAGCTTAGAAAAATATTAGATGGGGGAGTCTTGACTTTTTTATTCACCCTGTATGGACACAGATAATCTTCTTGTACACAGACAAAGGGTATTTTACCTGTAGAGTTTCACATACATGGATATCAGTACTGTGGACCTGGAACGAATAACATAGATGTATAAGCAAGGGGTGATCCAGGCATACAAGACCGATGTTTTCCCGATTTTATTACTAACACAAAGCTGTCTGTATCTATGTACAAGACCGATTAACCGGATAACACAATGGTAAACATGATTACCAGTGTAAACATTATTACCGGTTATTAATACCGGTTTGGTAAACATTATTACCGGTGGAAGTGCATTGCCCAGCTATCATTACAGTACCCCTGGAACAAAATTCGGTGGTAAAAATTATTACCGGTGGAAGAAGCATATGCCCGCCTATCATTACTGTGGTCCAGGAACAAAATTCGGCGGTTAAAAATATTACTGGTGGAAGTGCATATGCCCAGCTATCATTACTGTGGACTTGGAACTAAATTCGGTGGTAAAAATGATTACTGGTTGAAGTGCATATGCCCGGCTATCATAACTGTGGACCTAGACCTAAATTCGGCAGTAAACATTATCACCGGTTGAAATGCATATGCCCGGTTATCATTACTGTGGACCTGGAACTAAATTCGGCGGTTAAAATTATTACCGGTTGAAGTGCATATGCCCTGTTATCATTACTGTGGACCTGGTACTAAATTCGGCGGTAAAAATTATTACCGGTTGAAGTGCATCTGCCCGGTTATCATTACTGTGGACCTGGAACTAAATTCGGCGGTAAAAATTATTACCGGTTGAAGTGCATATGCCCGGTTATCATTACTGTGGACCTGGAACTAAATTCGGCGGTAAAAGTTATTACCGGTGGAAGTGCATATGCCCGGTTATTTATTACTGTGGACCTGGAACAAAATTAAAAAAACCGCTATATACAGTACTGTGTATTTGCTCGACTCTCGATGGTCCGGATTTTTCGTAATCCGGACCGGACGCCCGCCACTTTAGTCCGGATGAGCGTACATGGATACAGACAGCTTTGTGTTGGTAAAAAATCGGGGAAAACTGGTCTTGTACATGGATACAGACAGCTTTATGTTAGCAAAAAAATCGGGGAAAAATCGGAAAAAATCGGATCCATCAAAACCGGATCCAGCCCAAGATCCGGAATTTTTTGGATCCGATCCGGTGCCGGTTCCAGCTCGGATCCGGCGGATCCGGTTGTCCGATATCCGGATCCGACCATCACTAGTATTAACTGTTTATTGTGTAAGTTTAATTGATTTTGTTTGTTGAAAAATAATAAATATATTTTGATAAGAACTCCAATATTGAAAAACAGTTTTGGAACAGTTTTGCTTACTAAATTATAAGAACAGAGGAAATAGGAACAATTAAAGACAAGAGTAGGCCTATATATTTATAATTTAATTTGTACACTCAATTTATGAAAATACATTTCTTAATAAAACAATATCATAAAGAAACAACACAACTACATAAGGACACGCGTTCAAAACATCATACGTTGCTAAACAAAGGATGTTTTGTTAATTTCTGCCTATAATGCCAATCTTTGCATTTACATATGCTAAGGTTTATTTGTTTGCTTTGCTAGAACAAATTTAATTTGCACATAAATTCGAGAAAATATCTTGCTTAACAAAACGATATCATATACACAGTAAGTAAACAGCCAATCTCCGGGAATTGGTTCTATGGGTCAAAATAAAGAGAAAATCAAGAATAAAATTTTTTTTCAAATCACTTCGTTAACCAGATATCCACCATTTTGTATTTTGTACATAAACATTTTTATTTATGAAATTTTCAACCGATCTTTATAAAACTTGGTATGTAGGTTAAGATAGAAAAGACCAATACTAGGAAAAAATCATCTTGATTAAACTTAAAATTTCAAAATGGCGGCCATTTTAATTGTTTGAACTTAAATTGCTCAAAAACGGCTGTTATGAAAAGAAATGTCAAGAACACTTCTATTTTGCATTTTTTATTCCGTATCAAACAATACAAAGTTCAAAAAGATCGAATAAGAAATAGCTGAAATATTACGAAAGGTATTTAGTTGTAAAATGGGACCTGGTTAACGAAGCGATTTTGGAAAAAATGTTATTCTTGATTTTCTTTTTATTTTGACCCATAGAACTATTTCCCGGAGTTTGGCTGTTTACTTGCGGGACAACCTGTATATACACCAAAACTACAAAATCACTCACCTACAAAACATCAAACGTTGCTAAACAAAACAAGTTTTGTTAACTTTTGCCTAATCTCTACCTTTGCATTTACAGCTGCTAAGGTTGCTTCTTTTGCTTTGCTAAAACGAAGTATCTTAAAAAACAAGTTTCCTATGGATTTTGCCCATTTAATTTCGTGGTTATCCTCCCCAAACTCCACGTTAGATATGTGGAAAACAACAGCTCCAAAAAAATGGTTTTGAGAAAACTTATAGCCTATGTTAAGATGTAGCCTACTAAAAAATTTAAGTCATCTAATAATCTGCTGGTTATAATTCTTATGGAACATATATTAGTCATAAACCCTAGAGCAAAGGGTTATCTAGGATGCTGGAAAATTGAAACATTTTCAATTTTCAAAGTCTGTAAGTATTCTATGCACTCGTTCAACATTTCTCAATCACGTATGAGATTTTCTTTCGTACGAAATTGAACTATTCTTACTTCTTCTGCTTGTGTAATTGAATGCAGAACACGATTCTAGCATGATCAAAGTACATCACGTCGAAGAAATACTACTACGAAAAAATAAAACCACGCACTTCCGCTGTACAACTATACTGACAGTAGTGGCAGTGCACGTGGTTGCCCGGACTGTGGTGGGGGGTGTCTGACAGCGCCGGACCGCGTTTCGGCTCAAGCAACACATGCAGCGCGCGATCCATGTTTGTTATATATCGATGCCTAAGGCTTCAGTCATAATTGGCTACCTTGTTGCCGGAACGAAGAAATATGTAACAATCAATTAAATGAATGGCCACACTATGCTACCCGCGGTCAGTAGCTACTGGTGGTAGAAAAACAAATGCATCCGGGAGCGTTTTTGGTCGCGGCAACAAATACCATGTCATGTTACAGCACCGGCCACACTCGTCGATAAGTCACTTCTTAACATACTCAGTTCCTGCACTATTTTCATTTATATATTTTTCAGTTTGGGTCTGGCAGTTGTAAAATATCTCTTAAGGATTAATTATATTTTCTTCTAGTCTTCTGATGCAATAAGAATCCAAAAAGCTTGTTTATTTTTCAAAATGTCACATGTTTTCAAAGTAATTAGCTTACATAAGCTATACTCATCTGAAAATACTATATACAATTTACAATTTGAAAATAAATTATCCCTTAGCAAAATAGTTTAGGTGTGATAAAAACAATTTTTCAGGGAATTCACTCTATACCAGCGGATCATTTTCCTTTTAGATATTCAATAAATAGCAACAGAAAGAACTAGACTGTGATTAGACGATTTAGACATCTACAACTGGTTGATTTGACCATACTACAAATATTTTGATTACACCCCACAAATTCATAGAAAAAATCTAGCCCATCATGAAGATCATTTATGTTAGGAATATGTATGCCATGCCTACATTCTAGTCTGAAAATATAATATTTTTTGGTTCACTGGGTTCGTCATTCCAAACAAATGGACTCTCAAGGGAAAGGTCTAGATGTATCCCCTCAATACTTGCTCTTTTATCTCCCTTACATTATCAGTAGGTCTAACATTAGGTACTTCTGCATTATAATTATCCACTTGATGAGTGGTGAAATCTACTTCCATATACCAGTCATCTAGATCAGCTGAACTAGGCCTATGGGTAGCAGTGTCTTTCATTTGAAGTTAGATGGCCATTGGACTCTGTTTCAAAAACAAATTAATCTTTTACAAATTAATCCCCCCGAACTTACTCTTTCTATAGTTTCATTGATAGTATCTGTATTAGGAGAAATAACATCACTAAATTCATGACTGTGAATGTTAAACAACTATGCGGTAGGCCTTGGTAACACCCTGTTTGAGTATTGAATTTCACAGTCAGGATCGGATTTTTGGTCTTTCCGAAACTGTTCAAGTGTCACAAGGTCCACAAATTCACGATTATCAATAAATCTATCAATTTCACCCGACCGCAAGCCATAACTTCGCGACATCACGATGTAAGCAAAACCTCAAAACTTGCACTAGTTTGCTTGCGTTTGATTTATTTTCTAAATATCAGGGTTCCCAAAAGATAGAACGAAGTTGTAGTGTACCTAATGCAGTTTATCGTAGCAACATTAAGTGACCCAATACGTGCTGCTATCTATCGGAAAAAGCCGAAACTGCTAGCACTGTCGCGTGTAAGAGTAGAGTTGACAAAGTATTGTGTAGCATCCGTGCGGCCGGACGAGAACGACTCGTTGAAGTAGGCCAATGGATTACGTATGGAGGTTAGGGCATATATGGGTAAAAACTTGAAAACAGGACAATTGCTGTCCCCAGCTATTTATACCTCTCCCGCCATCCACTCCTGCTCCAAATAGTTTTAAAATGATTTAAACCTTCCTTTGAATAAAAATGTTTGTTTCCCGATTTTAATACTATGTAGTAAAATAAAGTTTGTTTGAAAAGTTCCAAAATAGGTATATTTATCGCAAAAACGCTGTCCCCTAGGTTAGAAGTTGGATACATAAGCTTATATTTTCAGTAATATTAAGGCGCACATTGTAAATATTTGGTTTGAATTAATTTATATTGTTAAAATATTTACAAAAATTACCAAACAGGCTTTTTAATGAAATTATACTGACAATAATGTTGAATGTAATGCTGGGTTCGGGGGGCGGAACCAGTTCTCGCCAGGTCTTTCAACCCTATCGACTCCGGGCGGATCGATATTTCGGCCTCTCTCAGTTCGTTGTTGACTGTGGGTGAAGTAGGTTAGACATGATGTGATTGCCAGGCTTTTCAGTTTACACGTAAAGTCTTTATTTAAAATCTGTTTTGTAAGCGTTAAGTTTTTGCGTAATGATCGGTACAGATAATAACTGTTACAATAAGGTAAATAACTTATAAGGTAAATAACTTCTTTAAAACCAAGAAAATATAAGTCAAAAGCATACTAAAGCAAACTTATGGCCATCAAAGGGAACCATGGCATCTATGTTCCATTTTAGTAAATGACGAGTCACAAAATCTGAGGATCTGATGTGTGACCTAGATTACTTTTGGTAAATTGTGTGACCCAAATTACTTCTCTTATGAGTTTTCAATGTCGAGAATTAATTTTCCGGTAACCCACTATATATTTGAAAATTACTTCTGTTTACTTTCTTTACTTTACCTATTCTGATGATGGGCAAATTATATACAACAAAAATTATATACAACAATGTGGGCGGTGAGAATTTTTGGCTCCGAGATTTGAGAGAAAATTACGAACCTCGCCTAGTGTAATGTGACCGGTTATTAGCAGACGATAATTTAACGAAAAGGTGGCATTTATAATAAAGGATAACACAAGTTTAGTTTAATACATAGAAGTTCCCCATTTATGCGTTTGAGTCACTGTGTAATGTCAGTCACGTTACCTGCATTACGTGTAATGTCAGTCACGTGATCTACATTACTTGTAATTTGGTTCTTTATTGAAATGGTGTGTCACATGGTGTTTGTTGGCATAAAAATAAAATCACTAACTTTAAAGGTAATTTTTAAGTTAAAAATTATACTTTTCAGTATATTGTTTGAAGAAAAAAATATTGCAGCCCATAATTTTGTGAGTTAGATCAAGAATACTTAAAGATCCTGAAATCAATACACCAATTTTTTAAAGTTTTTTTTTGTTTTTTAATATCTTGTATATTTATAGCAATCACATTTCTCACACTTTTGTATTATTGGGTATCTAAAAAGCTATTGAAATCATAATTTGCATAATTCATTGTAGATATCCTTGTCAAAACTTAGGATTGTTTGTGTGACCCAGATTACACAAAAACCAGAGGTCGAATTTCTCTTCTAGCAATAATGTTATTAATTAATTTTAGAGCCAATAAGATCAGTTTTATGAACTACAAAGGCTGAACATTAGAAAAAAATTGACTTAATTACTATTGGTGAGTATTAATTTTCTCAGATATAGGGGAAAGCAATTGTTTCAAGTTTTTACCCATATTATAACCTAATATTTCTTTGCACAACTTAAGCGCACTTTGAAGCACAACTTACAGTTTCAAAAACGTGTACTATCTATGCTTATTTGGTAGAAATTTTTTATTAAAAAAAGAAATAAGTGAATTAAGGGGGAAACCCCAAAATCAAATAAGCGAGACCAAAAATAAATTTCAAAAATCTGAACCGACAAAATCAGCAAGAGACTTTTAGCAACGAGGTCACAAGTCACAAGAAAAAGTTGCAGCGACTAGGTCACGGGGATAAAGTCACAGCGACTAGTTCACGGGGATAAAGTTGCTAAGTGTGGCCCTAGCCTTAACGTTTGCTACATTGTTTTGCCACTAGCCTCCTTCTACTGTATATTAAAACCTTTGTTTTAAATAGTGCTTTCCTTCAGGTCATGATGTGTCAAGTGAGCAATGTTGTCAAGCATATTGTTGACACTGATAAAGATTAAGCTTTGTTAAAGTACTTAGAGATTACCCTACACTCTTATTTAAAAAGCATCAAGGAAGCTGTAGAGACTACTGTAGCATCTGCAACAAGTCTTACTAAGCTACATACTAAGAAGAAATTGGTAGGAAAATAAAATGCTAACCTTAATTCAGTCTCTGCTTTGGGATTCGATGAAATGCAGAGATAAAATCAGCGATTTCTCTTCTATCGACTAAGTGTTCAAAAGCAGTTCTTACAGAGTCGTAGCTGTAACAAAATTTAAAAATAGTTAAGATTGTTTTATTGCACTAGAAATACACAGATTTAGCAACAAAACAAGAGCAGAAATCTTATTATAATTTACTATAGTCAAATGTTCGTTTTCAAATAAAATCCAACACAAGGGCATCTAACTGAAAGCAAACTTAAAAATGTAATGTAGAAAATAGTTATTTTCCTACAGTTACCTAACAATGTACATGTTCTCTCACTGATTTGAGAAAGCAAAGTGGCCAATTCGCTCATCAGTGAGACAATGTTAACATTGTCTCACTCTAATTACTTTGTCTCACTCCAGATTTGCAACGTGAAGGCACGAAATAGTGAGCGCGTAACATGCAGGCAACGTCGTATGCGCGCGAAATACGTTGGCAGCACTGGCTCTAAATCAGCTGGTCAGCTGTTGTACTGTTGTATTTGTCACTTCACATTAAATGTTATATTAAAAGTTCACTTCTGTGTAAAAATAGGTTATGTTTCTTCACAAATTTATTTGTTTTATGGTAACTGTAGGAAAAGTATAATGTGCAACTCGAGTTCAAAGTACAATTGCCTCACTCGAGTAACCATTCCTCACTCGCCTACGGCTCGTGAGTAAGGATTTCTCTCGAGTGAGTCAATTGCTCACTTTTCTCACTAGTTGCACAAATAACTATTGTGCAACTAGTGAGCAAAGTGAGCAATTGACTCACTCGAGAGAAATATTTACTCACGAACCGTAGGCGAGTGAGGAATGGTTTTTCCAGTGAGGAAATTGCACTTTGCACTCGAGTTGCACATTATATTTTCCCTACAGTTACCATAAAACAAATAAATTGGTAAAGAAACGTAACATATTTTTACACAGAAGTGAACTTTAAATATGACATTTTAATGATACAACAGTACAACAGCTAACCAGCTGAGTGTTTGAGTTTACAGCCAGTGCTGCCAACGTATTTCGCGCGCATACGACCTTGTCTGCATGTTACACGCTCACTATTTTGTGCCTTCACGTTGCAAATCTGGAGTGAGACAAAGTAATTAGAGTGAGACAATGTTAAAATTGTCTCACTGATGAGCGAATTAGCCACTTTGCTTTCTCAAATCAGTGAGAGAACATGTACATTGTTAGGTAACTGTAGGAAAATTAATTCAAAACAAATTATTGATTTGTAAGAAACTATTTATTACTTACATTTTGACATACAAAAACATAAAACCAAAATAGTTAATAGTGTAATCTGAATGTTTAGCCTTATGAAAGAACCTTTTGACAATGTTTGCATAAATTTAAGTTCTCACAAACCGCCACCAAAAAATGATTAAATTTTTTTTTAAGTCAACATATTTGAGTGTAACATGTTAGAATCCATTACGAATAGTTTTTGATTTGGGTTATTTACTTATCAAGTGTACAAAGCCTGTGTATATAGGACAATACTTCAGCTTTTTACTCAAATTATCTTTAGTACTTCACGATACAATAATTTTAACACCATCTTGTGCGTGCATTTGCCCACACTCAGGGGTTGCCACGGACTGTGGGGCCTTACACACGTCCCCATTGCTAAACCTTCAGATTTTCATGTTTCAGAAGGAGAGGATAATTTTTTATTGAACAATTTGGGACCTCATAATTTGGTGTCGTGCATGTTGTACTTGAGGGGCCCTAGCTTGTTGCCCATACGCTAGCGCTCGGCTGAATCTAGTGGCGTCCATGGGAACTATTGGCCCAGCCAAAAATATTCCGCCACGCTGAACGTGGGATCGGGATTTTAGAGTTCGTGCGTTTCTTCGTGAAGCCTGGGTGTGTGGGGCTGTAGTGGCAAGTGGGGAGCCAAGCGCGAAAGGGGAAGTTGACGTTGTCTTCTTGTTCTGCTACTAGTCTGACTAAAGACATTTTCTCGGTACTTTTTGGAGTTCGGACCACGGTGCAGAGGCGGTTCAGGTTGCTCGCGCGAGTTGTGTGATCATATTAATGTAGGCTAATTAAGGTAACAAATTTTCAATAAATATCTAATTTTTTACCTCATTAAGAGTAATATGAAAATGTTTAAGAACAGAGAATAGCATATTTTAATTTTATACAATTCTCTATATTAAAATTTAGAGTTGGCTTTTTTTAATACTCCAAAAATTACTCTTGAATGAGCCAGAGATTTTTCGTGTACAAAAACAAGTACAAATAATCCATTACTATTATACGAAACTATGGCTTACATACCTAGTCATAGTCAAGTATAATAAACTTGTATTTTGTCCTAAACAAATTGTATTTTCCCACCACTGTATACTTAAAAATAAACAAATTAAGTTTTAAGATAATCAAACTGACATCCAAAATTTTTTTGAAAAAGAGTGTATCCGCCCGCGATGTTGCTCGGACAGGGTGAGAGCGCAGACTGATTTTCGGTGTACCCCCACCCCTACAAAACCGGTTAAGAGCCACTCTAACCACCTACCCTCAGGCTTCACCAGGAATCAATACTACCGGAAGTCCACTTCCCGTCTTCTTTTTATTTTCTACCAACTACACTTAACGTTATTATTGAATTATTTCTGATGCTAAAATATATCTAGCTGTCTCGCAAAGCCTTCATGGATTCATGGTTCAATTTTCTGTTAGTCAACGTACATAATCAGTTTGTTTAATCGCAAACTAGGTTTGCGAAAATAAATTCAAGCGTGTTAACGGGGCTTTGGGGAACAACGTGAGCACGGGTTTTTGGTCCCTGAGGTCCGCGGTGTAAATCCCTGTAATCACGGTTAATTATTTTTAGCTTGTTAATGCCTAAAACACTTTCGAGGTGGATACAATGTCCTAATATGTAAATGTAGGACAAAAAAATTTAAAATAGAAAAATAATAATATGCTATTATTTATCTAATATTACCAATTCGTAATACAGGTAACTGTCCTTGATTGTGGTGTAAAATTGTTAATTTTGTATAACTAATAATAATGGATCTAACAAGTGGGAGCGAGCTGGTTTAGTTGTAGAACTCAAGGCTTCGATCCCGAGTATTTAGGTTCAAATCCCAGCAATCACCAATTGAGTTTATTACCTAGGTGATAAAACAATATGCTTAATGTTACTTATCTAGTTTTATTAATTCAAGATGAACTAGGGTAAATTAATTGTCACTAAAAGCGTATTCAATAACTTTTGTTGTATTATAACTAATGTTAACACGTTCGCTGCGGGCCATCAAATGGCAGGCGTAGCCTCAACGCGGCGCAGCCCGCAGCGTCGAACAAACCCGATTGCCGGGTGTTTGGCTCTCATATTTCGGTATGAGGAATAGCAAATAACGTGCGGTGATGTCCTGTTTTATAACAAGAGTCGACGTAGTTCGCTAAACACTCACATATAGCAGCACTGCTTGGAACGTAGCCGGTCCGATCGTATTGCCAATTGGAGGGAAAAAGACGGGACAACAAGTTGAGTTTTAAGTTTACCAGACGGGGATTTAATGGGGAAATTTTACTACCAACCTACAACACAACAAAAAGCAAGTCACCCACTACACGCTAACGTGAATTTGGTCTGCCTTCGACCGACGCTAGAGCAAAAACGATGATATACGAAAGGCATTGCGGAGCGTTTCCGATCGGTTACGGCAGCGTCTGAACAGCGCTCGGCCCGTATCCGATCGGATACGCCCGCAGTGAACGTGTTAATGGATTTAACAAATGGGAGCGTATTGGTCTAGTCCTAGGAGTAGATTGTGGGGCGGTATCGATGTTTTGGGTTTAAATCCCCCCAATTACTTACTAACCGACCCTATCCAATTTGTAAAAGTATTAAAAACTCATTAAGCTAAAATTACAAATCTGTGATTAAGTCCTTGTGACTAGTGGTAACATAAAATGGTTGATTTTATTAGAACTAAAATAAACATATTTAACAAGTGGGAGTGGGACCAAGCTGGTTTAGTTGTAGATAGTAAGGTCTCGGTCACGAGGTTTTGGGTTCAAATTCCGCCAATCACCACTGTTCTTTATCTAGGTGATATGAATACTATAGGTTAAGTTATTCTTCTAATACTACCAATTCGTGAAAAATTATAATACTGCAACTGCCACTATTAGGGCTGTAAATAATTGTTTGTTTTATTATAACTAATTTTTATGGTTTTAACAAATATAAGCGAGTTGGTCTATAACTAGAGGTAGAGCGCGAGGCCTCTCGGTGTGTTGGGTTCAAATCCAGCTAATCATTAGTACACTTTAGGCCTATTCAATACATAAAAATATTTAAGTTTTTAAGCAAATACATTATTACTAATTTGTGATGAAGTAGAACAGTGCTCTTATCATAACGGTATATGTTATGGATTTTATAATAACTAATTTTAATAAAAATAAAGAAAGGAGATAATGTGGTATAGCAGTAGAGTGAGGGACTTCGGTCCCGGAGGTCAAAGGCTCAAATCCTGCCAAACACTAATGCACTTTTTAGTGATAATGCCCCAATTCTCTAGGCCTAGGATGAGATGTAATGTGTTAACAGTTCTGAGTAATAGAGCCTGTCGTTCTAGGGAATGATAAACAATAAAAAGAACTAACATAAATATGTCATTCAGAAGTGGATAATACAGCGTTATTTGTAATGCCAGACGCTGGAAGTGAAGTAACATGGTTCAATCCTACCAGACCTTGATAACAATGTGTCTGATACCTACCCACTTTTAACTTTGCGTCAGCGTTTGGAACCCACTTTTGGTTATAGAAAGTGGGTATTAATTTAAAGTGGTTCGATAATTGTCTACAATGGATAACATTGGCACAGTTGACAGATCTTTCCAATGAGACTCATGCCAGGGATTTTATTTTACATCGATCACTTCAGACTAGTGTTTTTTGAAATAGCATAATTTGTCATCGTTTTCCGGAAAAATGGCGCTTTTCCAGCCGTATCTCCATTAATATCCATCGGATCTTGAAAATTCTTGCATATTATTTTTCAGCTCACTCTACCAATTAATTTGAGTACCCTCATGACCCATTTCCGCAAAAATATAGTTTTTCCAGGGAAATTGTGCTTTTCCGACGAAAATGACAATAATTTTTTAATTCACGACGTTATTTAGCATAAGAATAGTGAACAAAATATAAATTTAGCGAGACGTCTGTGATTGATATAAGTACCGTCAATTTTAGTTGGTGAGGAAACTTTAACTTCGGAATCACATGACGTCGTTTGGGTCACTGACCCAATAGTGCCGTGCTTTGTGTTATGTGTAGGGGTCTGCGGTGCACCGAAAAAGTCGGTACGGTACGGTACAAGCTTAATTACCATCATCGGTTCGGTACAGCATTTTACACGGTACAAATTCGGTTCAATAAATTACTTTCAGTTTACTATCGTAGTCAACGGCAGTTGGTTCCGAGCACATAAAAGTCTTATCAGATGTTTGTTTACAATCTTCATAGTTTATTACTAGCGTGATGATGCAATAAAAAACCCATTAGCAGTCCCAAATCCATTAACATTTTATCACGACAATAATTGTTGTATTGAAGTACTTCCAAGAACTGTTGAGTTTTATCACTTTTATTTCTTTACGACTTTCCCCAATTCTGTTTTATCATAAAAATAATAGTTTTATGATGACTGTTAAATGTTATCTCTAACTTAATCAGTATTTTCACTACTGCCATAAAACTGTTTATGGCTACATATTAAACTTGTAACAAATCTACAATCTTATTTTATAAATTAAATATTTGTTATGGATATTTTATCTTAACATAAAAATACAATATTGCACAATCGTGATATTTTAGGCCATTGACCTTTATTATGCATCCGGTATTGCTGTTTCAGAAGAGAAGCACGTTGATAAATTATAAATTGATATTCCTGTAGTTAAAAAGAATTATTTTATAAACCTATAAAACAAAATCATAAAATCTTACATAAAGATAACAATAACGGAAATTGTAAAAAGGGTATAAAGATAACAACGTCATTCTTTCTCTTTGTTCTTCTATTTCTTGGGTTTCCCTTCATCACGCATTCAACAAGTTGCCATGGTTACTAATCACCCATGTCGTTATCAGCTTTTGTGATGTAGCGCACAGCAGGGGGTAAAAGCTTTGGGTTCCCCACTGAGTGCAGCCGAGCGGCACTAATGAGGGTCGGACCTTCTTGGGGGTGAACAATAGACGGCTTATCAGACCCTCCCCTCCCCCGTGGTCTGGAGAAAGCATGTAAACAAACTATTGCACAAGCGTGCTGACTTGACATTGAGCTGCTTCAACTATAATTTTGTCAAATGAACTGTGATGTTTCAAAATCAAAAACAATAATTTGGGACCATACTGCTTAACAATAATGGACTGCAATTATTGTTGAACATACAATCCATTTTTAACAAACTAAGATTATACGATTCAAATACAATTATAAAAATTATCTTGGTATTTTACTTGGGGTAATGAAGTTATGTAGGCTAGTGTAATTCTCGATTCATCAAGGTTCTACTGAATTATGTTTGGCAGTGAATAAGTGTAGAATGCAATTTATAAATTCAGGGATACACACCTTTTACACAGTTATAAAGTCTAATTGCCCAACATCAAATCTTACTCTGTGATAATCCAAATTTTAGTTTCAGAAAAAAACTTTGCAAGAATTGTATCCATCTTATAACTTAACTAGTTTTGAAGCTGATAAAAAAAATGGTCTTTGCCATTACTTCATCATAACCTCCAGTTTTTCATTGTCATCTGCTGTGAACAGCTGGCAAAACTACACTGTCTTCTACTGAATGCTTTTATATGTTAAAAAAAAAAAAAAAAACAACTAGACATTGTGTTGGTTGGAAATAATTTATCAGTTTTGTGAAATTATCTTGTCAATAAATGTTTCAAACATGTTAATTCATAAAAACTCTCATCCTATTTTTAAACTACTTTATCATGGCTATTCAAAGTATCTCAGAGTAAAATAGGTAAAGCCTTTATCTCAACTGTGATTTTTCTTGACACAATCCTCGTAGTAGTAAAAGGTTTTGTTTTAATAATATGTGGTACAGTAATTGTTGTTAGAAAACCATGAATGTAGGATACTATCCATTTTCATAGTAATGTCTATGTATTAAAGTTAAAAATAATGGTTTGGATACAGTTCTGAGAAGAAAACCGCAAAAATACGGGTAGCCGCGTACCGTACCGATTTTGTACCGAGAACCGAGGTACAAAATATTGTACCGTACCGACCTTAAATTTTCTGTACCGCAGACCCCTAGTTATGTGTTACTGCGTCCAGAAGTTCAATTCTGACTTTGTCCGTTGTTTTTGTTAAGTTACTATCTTAATGTGGACAAGGAGATTTTCAGTATTCCATTTTGATACCGATAATTATTTTTCAAACAAGTCTAGTACAAAATTACGTTTTTCTAGATTTTTGGCAATATTTACAGCCGATGCGGGACCGAACGTACAATACTATTATTTAAAAATCAAATCCTTAGTGTCTTGCAGATGGCATTTTCAACTATTAGCCTACATATTAAAAATCTAGTGTCAAAATAATAAAAAAATTGTAATTTGAGTTTTTCATTTTTGTTCAAACTTTAGAGCACATGCGCGACTGGAAGATGAAGACTATTTTATATTTTTACCCTGTTTCGGTCTTACAATCTAGCAACTTTTCCAAGGTATTACAATTAAAAAAAATTATTGATTTTATTCAACAAGTTGCCATGGTTCAACAAGCATTATTTATCAGCCTAGCTTTTGTGTCAAAGCACTCAGCAGGAGCAGAAGATTGCTAGCGCAAGCGTGACGTCAACTTGGGCTATCGATTGATATTTATCTTTTTTTGCTTCCATTTTAATTTCGTAAAAAAAAAACTATGATATTTCAAAAACAATAATTTGGGAGCCTACTGCATATCAATTATGGACTGAAATAGTTGAACGTACAATTCCATGCCAAACTAGGATTACAAGTTAAATATAACTAAACAAATTTACTTGGTAGCTATTTCACGTGGGATAGTGAGGTTAATTTAATTTTCGGTACATCAAGTTCTACTGAATTATGTTTGGTGCTTCTACTTACACTGCTTGTACATCTCTAGGTGACAGTGACTTGAGGAAGGGTTTCAGCATCTTGAAGATAAAATAGTGAGTCTCGCTTCGAATTCGCGACAGCCCGTGGGAGATGAATACAAAGACAATGCTTTGTACGCATCTTGGAGGCTTTCCTTTTGAAATCACTTGGATGACTCCTTTGGCCAATGACTGTAAAAAAAAATTAATAAAAACCTCCGGTTTTCAATTCAGTAACATAATTTGGCTCATAAAAGTAGTCTGAGACTATTTTTAATGACAACGCTTAGTCCTATAATCATAGAAGAGGTTTTCAAGCTAAGGGGTGGAGATTAAACATTAAACATGTTTTTTTTTATATATTAGTTAAGACAGATGGAGGCTTAACAACAAATAACAAAACATATATGGAATGGAGTTAAAAAAAATTTAAAAACGTCAGTTTTAGATGTTTTTAATTTGAAGTGAATTTGTAACTTATAGTGGAATTGATTTTGTTTAGTGGAAGTTTAATAGAAAGTAAAATAAACATATTTATTCAGTTTGTGATTTTGATTGTCCAATTTTCAATCTAGTGGCAGAAACATGACGACTACAGTTTGAAGTTGATTTTATAAAATAACCTAGAAAGTGGTAAGTTTAGTAAAGGCCAATAGGCTACACCCGGCTAAAGTGAAATCTGTTTTAATTTGAAATAAAATGAATAAATTAATAAATTAGTTAATGTATTTAATTTAAAATTTAAGAGTTTAATGTGGGATTTTATTTTAAGACAATAGGCCTAGGCCTACTACATTTTTGTTTGATATTTTTTGTCTGTCAGGTACGGACGAGTGACTTATATCATTCTTATAAAAAAAATTAATGAGTGAAGAGGATAGCCATAGTACGCATAATCTTCAAACTTAAGGCAGCACACCATTCCAAGTGATTATTTTTAAGTACATTATTGCATATTTATGGTTTTAACTTAAGATACACATAGTTACATTAAGTTATCTGTTTTGTAAATAAATTTCTTTTTACAAATTATGTTTCTTTACTGAATTGAAATTATTCTTAAAATAATTAGTTACCTAAGTTGAGTATCATGTTTGGTTGGAGTCAAGTGTGTAGCATAAAATATACCCCCGCCGCAGCAAACCTGCAGACTAAGCGAATTTCCATTTGCCTGATTGGATTTACACTCAAATGTCTCCTTAAAAATATCACGTTCATTCCTTATTTAAATATAGTGAGTTTAACGAGTACTTAGGTTTTCTGCAACAGGGAGGGTAAAAGTCTTTTTTTCGTCACCTATGTAAAATGTTAATAGTTTAATGAGAAATAAATGCATTTTCCGAATTTGATCAAAATATGTTCATAAACAAGCAAACTACAACAGTTGCTTATCCTCCATAACAATAACATTGGAATTTTAATTTTAGAGTTTTTTGGAAATTTCTCCTTAACTATTGGGCATAGGCCTACAACAACGCTTCAATATACAAAATTATTTATTTGTTTAAAGCTCTACAAAATAGTTTGGAGGGAAATTATAAAATTTTGTGTTTTTAGGGTAAAAAATGGGAAAAATCTATTTTTATCCCATAAACCCTCATTACCATAGTCAATATACCTTTACGCTTAGTGTAAACGCATTTACGCACACAGGTAGCCAGCCTGTAGTGTGAGACTCCTGAATTTATCAGACTACTCACTAAAAAAACCCCTCTGTTATGCTGGACACAGACCTGGAATTGTTTGTCACATTACTTCTTCAAGTCAGACCAACGTGTGACCTAAGCCCACATGGCTCGCACCGTTTCTGGCATTATTTATTTTTTTTTTACCTACACCGCATCCCGGTCGAGGTCGAGCTTCTTTACGCGGAGAACACCCTGGATGTAAAGTGACACACAGGTCCAATTGTCCTCACCCTCCATCATCATCGGTATGACCGTGTCCACCGACAGCAGTCCTACGAACTGTTGAGCCTCCAGGCGGGGCCTTTCGCAATGCTGACAGTGGAAGAAAGTGTGTTCCACGTCATCGGGAATGCCTGGGCAGTATATGCAATTGGGTGACACGGCTTTGCCCATCCTGAACAAGTACGACCGGAAAAAGCCGTGACCTGTCAGAAATTGGGTGAGGTAGAAGTTCACCTCTCCGCACCGCCGATTAACCCAAGGTTGGATCTGTTGTATCAGTCGCCTGGTCCAGAGCCCCCTTGTCTCCTTTTCCCAGCTCTCCTGCCAAAGCTGGAAGGTCCGGGTGCGTTCCTCAATTCATGCCTGGTCCTCCCCACGGCGCTGATAAATTGCCTTCCTCTCCGCCGCCAAAAGTTTGACGGGGATGACTCCAGCAACCACCAGGACGGCGGGTTCAGACACTGTTCGATAGGCAGATGCTACCCTTAGTGCTGCCTGACGCTGCACTCGGGTGAGCCGCATCCTATATATCTCCTTATTGAGAGCGTCTGCCCAGACTTCCGCACCGTACAGGAGCACGGACTGGACCGCAGACATCAACAGCATTCTGCGACTGGACTGCGGACCTCTGACATTGGCCATTAACCGACTAAGGGAAGAAACCATTTTAGCAGCCTTGTCCGCCATACGGGTGATCTGGTCTCGCCAGCTGAGCTTTCTGCCCACCATGACCCCAAGGTACTTTGCGGCACAAGTCGTTTGGTCTTCAACGTTCCCCACCAAGGTGGGGAGATTTATGAGAAACGCACTGGGCGGTGTCATTACTGTCCCCGTACCCAGTGCGTTGCTCATCATGAACGTTGGTGGGGCCATCTTAAAATGCCCTTACCTACCTGTGTACCATTCCGTCACTCATAATGTTCTTGCCATACATTTCACTAATCCAGTCGGCGGTAGTCTCAATTGGCGGCACCATTTTGAATGCTCAAAACCGGATGTAAACACGGCCGATTTTTCTCCAATTTCCGGCTAGGTCTTACCAATAGATGCCCATACACAGTGCAAATGTCGAAAATACCAATCGCAGTGCTGGAACGGAGAAATTTAAAAACGGTACTTACTTAAATAACATACCTCGTATTAAAATACAAGTTTCATTACAAACACATTAATTACTACAGGACTCGTAAGGATCCATTTAATACCACAGTGACTTTTTAGTTTGCCATTTATTATTAAAATGGTAAATTATAATGAATCTAAAGTGAATGAAAACTGTTTACCTCGTGGCTGGTTAAGAGAAGAACAAATTCGAAAAAATGGACTCAGTAAAGGGAAAACTGATATCTACATTAGGTCCCCTGGAGGTAAAGTTTTTCGCTCAAAAGAAGAATTAAAAAACTATATCACAGAAAAGAAACAAACTAAAAATACTAAGTGAAAAAAACCAGTATTCTTGTGTACGATCCCGACAAGATATGATAAGAGCCTACACCCCAAAGAAAACCAAGAAATAAAAATAGCAAATAGCTATATAAGAGAACTTGTTTTAAGAGTCAAAAAAGTAGTTTTAATTAACCTTAACCATCTGAAGAGGATTCGTTATACTACTCACGGATTACATCTAAACACTCTTGGTACAACTGAAATAGCCCAAATATTTCTGAAAGCCATTACTAGGTGGAAAACCCAAGATATGGAATACCAGTACAAATCATTTCAACCCCCTATCAGAATAATTGAAACAAATATGAAGAATGAAATCAATAATTGTAAAAATCAAGAAAAAACTGTGTTTGCTCATTGCATATCAGGTGATTTTGAAGCTGATAGGCAAATGACCGCGGGAGTAGCAGTGACTTTTAAGCAGCAGTTTGGGAAACCCCTTCCATCTGACCAAGTTACAAACCACCTTGCATACCAACAAGTCCCAGATGAAGCCGGAGTCTATGCACTTATCACCAAGGATAAATACAACAGCAAACCTTCAGTTCCTGACTACAACACAGCATTCCAGGACTTGATCAGCGACTTCAAGCAAAGAGGTTTTGAAAAATTGATTTGCTATGTCATGGGGTGTGTTCGTGATAAAATATCCATAGAAGTCTTTACATCTAACATTATTAACTTTTGCCATCTTACTGGAGCCTCTGTGGATATTGTAACTTATCACCAAAAGTCATCTCGTTCTCTTTGGAATGGTCTTGAGTATGATGAGTTAAATGCTAACTTGAAGCTCAGCATTTTATCTAAATATCTAAAAGACCAAGCAGCACTTGAACCTCTATGTTCCGATCAACCTCTGACCAGCTCGTCTCAGCCTATGCCAACACCACAGACCACTCAGGATGTACAGGAGGTCACCAATCCACTCACCGACAACCAGCAGATGTCGAGCAGAAGGGAGGAAGTACATGTGTCTAGTGAAAGTGTGAAAAATCATGGGCATTATAGTGAAGTTTGCACCCCAACCTTAACATTAAGTTTAAACTAAGTAATTGTGACAACGAAAATGTTTCAGCATGTAAAAATAACTTTGCAGATATTAATGTAAATGTTACACATCAAGTCCTTGATAATCAAGATTATTCTTTTGCAAATCATAATCTTAAGCAGCTTGCTAAATATAACAATCATGTTTCTACAAACAAAACTAACCATAATAATTATAAATCAGATATTGCAAAGAAAAAACCTGCATTGAATCTCGACCTCTGAAAATTCTGCATCAAAATGTTCAACACCTCTCATCTCGCCTTAATATATTAAAGATAAATTTGGAAGAAATTCAGCCAGATTTAGTAGCACTATCAGAACATAAAATGGTTGAATCAGAAATCTTATCTCTTAACATTGTAAACTATAACAAATGCTCTTACTTTTCAAGAAAAAATTCAATGGGAGGAGGGGTGCTAATATTAGTAAGCAAAGCTATGAAAAGTAAAAGTATAAAAATAAAAGCAATCCAGGATCTTATAGAGGAAAAAGAATTTGAGTGTTGTTTATCTTTAATCACTGAAAATCAATTTTCTTTTATTTTAGTATGTTTATATAGATCTCCAATTCACTGTCTAACTGAAATATTTTTAGAAAAATTTGATTTGATGTGTAGCATATTGAGTAGTAAATTTAAAAATATTGTCATAGCTGGAGACTTTAATATTAATGTTCTAAACAAAGATAAAACATATAATTTATTTAAGAATATCTTAAAATCACATAAAGTAGACTTTCCCACAAGAATAACATCCGAATCAGAAACTGCTATAGATCATTTCATTACTAATATTGAATGCAAAAAAAACCATAGCATATGGTATTTTAAAATGTATTTCTGACCATGATGGCCAATTGTTCGAGGTATATGGAATAAAAAGTAAAATTAAGAGTATAAATAAAGTGTTTAGGAGGAGCTTTTCTGAGACTAATATAAATTCATTTTTAACACTATTAGCTAAAGAAGATTGGTCTGAAGTATATCAAGCCACTGTAGAAACTAAGTATGATGTTTTTCTTTCGATCTTTGTACATGCCTTTGAAACTAGTTTCCCTAAAATGTTCCAAGTAGAAAAAACTACTACTTCTAATTCATGGATTTCCAATGACATTAAAATGAAGAAAGAAAATTTAGTGAACTTAGAAAAACAATATAGAACACTAAAGTCTGAGCCTCTAAAAAATAAAATCAAACAATTAAAAAAAGAATTAAAAATTCAGCTGTTAGACAATAAAAAACAATACTTCAATGACAAAATAACAAAATCCACAAATAAATCCAAATCAATTTGGAAAATTATTAATTCTGAAGTAAATAGTAAGACTAAGCCTGGTAAAAATTTGAAAATTTTGTTCAACGACAAAATCGAATCAAACCCAACTTATATATATATATATCCTTAACAACTTTTTTATTAATGTGGTTGATGACCTTGTTCTTCCAAACATTAATAAAAATACTACAAGTATTGAATCTAACCTTAGAAAACCACCCCAACCAACCTGCAGCTTCAAATTTAGAGAAGTTGATGAAAGGCTAATAGAAAATATAGTTAAGTCTTTAGGGAATGTTTGTTTGGTGATTAATATGTAATGTCAAGTGTCAAAACATTGTCTTCACTTCAGTCGATGTTCATTATCTGACCGTGACAGGTGTTAATTTTTTGTACGTTTCTTAGTTGTCTTGTCGTTATATATATTTTAGTGATAGTTAAATATTTTAAATACATAAGTTATTAAGGTGAACAGTTTTAATTAAGTAGGAGTAGATTAATAATATTTGTTTGCAATGGCGGGCGAGTGTGACAAGTGACCATTTTAACAAGTTGAAAAAATGAAAAGGGTGGAAAGGCGTTAAAATGTTTATTGTGTTTTACCCAAAACAAAAATAATTAAAGCATCTGTCACAAGTGCTTCGAGATAAGTGGAGAAAAAGGATGATGGTCTCGTTTTTAACTTGAAGTGGAATAGGCCTATATATTTTTTAATGAATATAATTTTTATTTTTTAGTACAGTTATAGTGTATTTCTCAATGTGTTTCCCATGCTCTTTTAAACTTTATCTTGCCACAAATAGGTTACTTTTACTTATGTTTGTGTATCGAAAGTAATGTTTATGTCAGGAAAGGTGAGATGATCACTATTTGTTTTTGTCTTTTGAACTGTTGAAAACAGAGCGATGAAAAGTTTTTGTATCACCTTTGTCGGGGAAATAAATATGTGCACCTCTGCATTTACATAGAGGTAGCAATCCCTTGTAAATGACCCTATGCTTCTGGAAAGGCCTAGAAACAAGCAGAGTGTCAGCAAATTCGAGACACAGGTACACATAGTCTCAAGTTTCTGCCTGTAGTCATTTAACCAGTTAAGTAAAGTCATAACATACAGGACCGAAAGGTTTAGGAACTGCTGCATTATAGAATTGTATTTATCACCTTCTATATACTGATACTCACCTCTGGATTAAGATCGTGGTGGATGATATTCCAGATCAAACCATCAATTACAAACTTGGAGAACGATTTCTCCTTATCATGCATCGTCCAGAAGAATGTCTGCAATATTTCATTGTAATTTTGTTTCTGAAATAGATTGAGTGAATTAGTATTTAACGTAGCATTTTTTAATGATTTATAAGCTATTGTACTAAACATAACCAGCTGTCTTTGTCTACACCCGAAAAGATCCTCAAAGAACAAAATATACTCAGTTTTTTTGTGTCTTCTGTGTCATCTATGGCCTATCGTTACTTCTTCTAAGATAAGCTAGCTGCAGCACTGACCAAACTGCCGAACCTCATCACTATAATTATAACTACCCCTAACAATATCTTTACTGTTGCAATCAACTTCCCAACATACTCCAAAACCTTCTGATAAACTGGGTATTGCTAGTCATTACACCTCATATCACATGCAACCAATAAAAAATGTGACAGCGACAGGGTTAAGAAGGGTGAAGATGGAAAATTCATCTTGTGAGACATGTCAGATTTCACACATGCAAAAGAAATTGTTCTGCTAAAGAACCTATGCTATATTTAGATTTAATCCATAAATCTTGCGTTTTTTTTTTTTTTATATTGAAGAGTTTAAAATATAAAAAAATTAAGTAAAAACTTACACAATTGAAGTAAACAAAGAAGACCAGAATTGTCAATGAGTACTTGTAGTCGATCATCTGCGACATGACAACTGAGCAGAACAGTTCCAAGCATTGTTTTGTGTCCTGCAACTCGTTGTCGTCTGGACAAAAAGGACAAAACATTTAGATCCATTATACAACCCATTGATTAATTAGTCTATGGTAATAAATTATGCAAACCATTTTAAAATCAAATAAGTTATTATTTAATCCTTTATGATATGTTTTTTATATATACATTGTTATAATACTTAAATTGTTACATTGTCAGTATTAATAGGGATGGACGGGTCCCAAAATTTCGGGGAAAAAATTTTCCCGATTTTCGGGACGGGATTACATTTGATTCGGGAATTTTTCGGAACGGGATTTAATCCTACCTTCGGTGATTTTGCCGCTTTGCGGGTGACAATGACGCTGCTATCGCGAAAGATGTTCATGATAGTTCGGCAAAAGTAGGAGGCGAAGTCATTTCGACGATCGCGCCGTGACCACAAGTCAGTCATACCGACGATCACGCAGTCACTGCGAGTGATACTGACAATCATACTGTGACTGCGAGTAATACTGACGATGATGACATGACCGCGAGTCATACAGACGATCATGTCCTGACTGCGAGTCATACCGACGATCATGCCGTGACCGCGAGTCATACCGATGATCACGCCATGACCGAAAGTCATTTCGACCTGTAAATGTTTACCCATTTGTTTGTTTTTATAGATCAGTGCCACAAATGGTAAAAATTGATTTTGTTTGTATTTTTTGGCTACTGCAATACTCAAGACCTTCTTTTTATGCACAGGAAAAAACCCTGTCCCGCTCCGTCCCGAAAATCAGGAAGGAAATAAAAATTCCGTCCTGTCCCGTCCCGAACTAAAAATTCAATCCCGTCCATCCCTATTAAATATCTATATGCACATTTATTCAATTTTTCAAATCCATATTGTTTTCCAAAATAAACTTATCACACACTTTTTAAATAAGTTCTATATTTCGGCATAAGCCTTCTTCAGGAACTAACAAACAATAACAAATATAAGTGTTTACCACTCTGAATCAGATGGTTTTAGCAAAAATCCAAAATACATATAATTTATAAAGAAGTAAAAAAGAAAATGTTGATAGAAAGAAAGAAAGAAAATATGTTTTATATACTATCTCAAATTTAGACCGGAAGGTGTTTCAGATTTAAGTATTAATTGATGAGCTTGCACAAGCTGTCTTAATTTTAAGTCTGATGCCTCTTTTGCCAATTTTCTTATTCCTTTCAATGAATAACATTGTTGAAAATTTTGAGAATGCTCTCTCGCATGAATAGCCACAGGTTTTTGTTTATCAGGATGGTTTACATCATATCTGTGGCCATTCATACAAACTCTAAGAGCATTTGTGGTTTTGCCAATGTAGTCTTTAGGACAAATTTGCAGGAAATTTGGTAAACTACATTAGTAGAATCACAAGTGATGTCACAAGTGATGAACTATTGAAGGTGTAGGACGGGATAAACTTGAATGAGTTTGTGAACCAGCATGATCGGACCATGGGAACAGGGAGTTTTATGGGGTAAGTTATTAAATTATTGACGGTATTTATGTTGTAAGATCTTTTAGTTTGGCTGCTAGTGGAAGATTTTGATGGTAAGGTTAATTTGCAAGTGGCACATCGTGGTTTGTTGCATGGATTACAGCTTGAACGTTTTGCTGATGGTTGGGAAGTGGGAGGTAGTTTGGGTTTTGAAAGAATGTCTTTCAAGTTAGGAGCTTTTTTGTATATTAGTCTTGGGGGTTTGGAAAACAAATTATGGGTTTAAGAGGTGAATTTGAAAGAATATTATGTGCCACTCTTAAAACATTATTAACTTTGTTATTTATTAACTTTGTGCAACAAATTATCATTTCTTTCAAAACCCAAACTACCTCCCACTTCCCAACCATCAGCAAAACGTTCGGGGCAAAGCATGTAATATTTATTGCCATCGCGGCAACATTCGTTACACAATAGTTTTCAACGATCACAATTTTCAACTAGGGATGCAAAACAAAAAAATCAGCGATTTTGGGCAGATTTTACGTCAATTAATTAATCATTTAATTATCTCAGTTTTCAACAAAATTCACAAATTCGTTCCCTGTCATCAAAATTCACGTAAAATTCCCGGTTTCAAGGTCGTATGGACACCTTGTCACACCTTCAAACGCCGTACTATAGTAAACGCCGTAACTTGTAGTATAGTGTATTGGACCAAAATGACTCACCTAGTTTTACCATAGACCTATTTACTGTATAGTGGAAATAATGGTGGAGCCACTCTGCTGTCAATAAATCCAATGGTGGAAGGTGAATCTCGGGAAAAGCGGCTACAAACTTGTTGTATGGAGATAGCAGAGTCACTAGTCTGCATATGATAGAGTAGGCCTGGAACAAGGGTAAATTTCAAGTTCAACATGTGAATTTTAATGTTTGTACAAAACATTGTAAATATAAACATTACATTTTCTCTAACACAAATAGTAAGTAAATATGGAACGTACTTAGTAAGGAATATTCATAATTTCACTTTTTTTCTTGGTACTTAGAACTACCATGAACTACCAACTGTGTAAATAAGTCATAAGTATTGTTGTAAATAAAGACAAGAGTAACCAAAATGTGACTTTTATTCATAATAAAAATCAGCCATACTCGGAGGCAGTTCAAAAGGGGGGGGGGGGAAACAGGGGCTAAAGCCCACCCCTATTGGACCCTGGAAGAATAAATTTAAACAAACATAAATTTTGTCCTTAAAACACACAATGTTCATACAACACACAAATCATACATACAGTTTTTAATAAAGTAATTAAGCGATGGCAGGATTAGTTCCACATAGATACACTTTGTGTGGCAAAAGTGAATCCCGTTTCAATGAGGTGTTGTAGAGTTTTTAGGTTCAGCTGAACCTAAAAACGTGTTGTATAGTGTTTGAAAGACTAATTATTTATATGCTTTATAGTGACTGTAGGAAAAATATAATGTGTAACACGAGTGAAAAAGGCCTTTGCTGCACTCGAGATCATTCCGCACTCGCCTGCGGCTTGTGCGTAAACATTGCTCTCGTGTGCAGCAAAGTGCCACTTTGCCCACTAGTTACACAAATAACTATTGAAGGTGTAGGACGGGATAAACTTGAATGAGTTTGTGAACCAGCATGATCGGACCATGGGAACAGGGAGTTTTATGGGGTAAAAATTGGTTTATCTAATTTTTTGACCCTCTTAACACAAAATATTCCAATATCTCTCCAGGCCTTTTTAAAGAGTAAAAAAAACAAACAAATAATTTAGTATATCAAAGTGTTTTTAGCGAATTTCCCATGGAATAAGCTATTACCGTAGTACTCATGGTAAGACCTGGACCCGAGACCAATTTATTTTTTCGTTTTGAGGTCACTAGAGGCCAAAAACACCATCCGTTCAGATTCATATATATATATATAAACACTTTAACACTTATATATATATATATATATGTGTGTGTGTCCGTTAGCACGATAACTCAAGCAAAAATTATCCGATTTTGATTAAATTTGGTACAAACGTGTAATCCTACATTTATTCGAACGAGTTCGCAAACCAGCATTATCGGACTATGGGATCGGGGGTTTATGTGGTGTAAAAATAGGATTTTCCCATTTTTGACCACAAAAAAAACACAAAATTTTACAATTTCTTTCCAAACCATTTTGTAGAGCTTAAGTACTCGTTAAACTAATTCTATTTAAATAGGGAATAAATATGATATTTTTAAGGAGTTTTAAAGTGTAAATTCTATCAGGCTAATGGAAATTTGCTTAGTCTGCAGGTTTGCTACGGCAGGGGTATTGTACAATTATTGGTTACGGAGAAAATAAAAAAAATGTGTTATTTTAAAATTCCCATGTTATTCTTATGGAGAATATTGTAAAATGTTGTAGTTCGCTTTTTTATGGATATATTTTGATCAAACTTGGTAAATTTATTTATTTTATACTAAGTTATTAATATTTTACTAAAAACACACTTTTTTACCCTCCCTGTAGCAGCAAGCCCAGGTACTCATAAAACCTAATGGTAATTAAATACATTGAATTAAAAATCAATTCAGGCAAATGGAAATTCACTTAGTCGGCAGGTTTGTTACGGCGGGGGTATTTAATTTAAGCCATACCTAAAATATACAGCAAAAAGAGTTATTAAATTAGTTGGTTTGAATTTATAATTTTAAATTTAGAAAGCCCAGGTAATTAATTTTGCTTATCCACTTAAACCAAACCCTTTTTTGGTGAATTTCTTCATAGGTACAAAGCTATTACTGTAGGTCTTATGATAAGACTGTAGATTAAATTTACAAGTAGATTTGTCTTTTTTATGGATCAGCTTAAGACAATGTCAATGCTAGTACTAACTGGTTTTGTAACGACCCAAAACCCGTCAAGGGGTAAAAACCCGATTTTTAAAAGTTTCATCTTAAATATTATAATTTTCTACGTTCGGGGTAAGCCGCGCCCGCGTTGTCAGCGGCATCGTAGGGGCAAGGGTCCTACGTCATCGTAGAGGGGATAGTTAGTTACCTACCCCGCCGCCAGGGGCGATGGCGAAGAATGACCAGAAGAGCAGACCTTATGGTCAGTAGGTCAGTTCTCAGTTGTCCACCCGCTACCGAACCGTCAGTACGCCAGCTGTTTGGAGATAAATCCAACAGTCCTAACTTACGAAATTCTGGTCAATTAAAGATTTCCCCCGTTCCTGGTAGAATTCTAAGGCATCAGGTTAGTGTGCTACCGAATTTATTTTGTTTAATCTCATTTTAGAGAAGTTTTATTATTTTTACTTTATTGTGCCGCAGTCGCACGCACCCCGCACGCTTTTTCACGTACGAGCACACTACCTTTTGTCTTAAACCAGCTTCGGAAATCATTTAAGTTGCCAAAACGGTTTACGTACGACTTATTCTGTTACCCCGAACCGTCTTACTTAAATTTGATTTATGAAACCCCGTATCGACTCTGGTGTTCGACCGAGTCTAATTTTCCCGACACGTTTACTTTGGTGATTACCAAGTATATCGACCGAATCACGTTTTAGTTAAGTTTCTAATTAATTAGGTCATCCGCATTCTCCATCATTTATTCAAAATTCTAAATTTAGCTTCACATATTTTTCGAGTGGCTATGATGAGCACTAGTTAAAGGTAAGCTTAACATTGTAAGCATTATTGTTGTAATTAATATTCTGAGCCAATAAACTCGAAACGATTATTAATTAACGAACACGTTAGAGCCCTGGACTATCTCATTGTAGGCTAAGCTATCTGGACAAATTTAAGGTGTGACAGAATTTCAGGTGAGACGACAATTACGTACTTTAAAAATCTAATTTTGTCTCTCAACCCGAAATTTCGTCATAGTTTATGTAGGAGCGTGTTTTTTTTTTTTTTTTATTTGATTCTTCTTATTTTAATTAACAATTAATTTTTCAGATGGCTAAACCAAACAATAGTAATAACTTAAAAAAAAAACCAACAGTTAAGAATTTTTTTAAACCTTGTTAACCTGAACTTTCAGACTTTTCATTAACATTCATGGTCAGATTAGACATACTGATGTCAGCTGTGGGCAAGACAATGTTTAGGCAGAGCAGTATGGGAAATAATATCATCAAATTTTACTAGTTGTTATAGCATAGTATTTTATTATTTTATTTCAGTGTACAGGATATTCATTAGTTAATTTTTTAGTGGTGACCTCATTGGTTTAAACTTTGTACCAAGTGGTACCTTAAGAACCCATTAGCACACAAGAATATTATTTTAGAACTGTCCTTGATATGTATTACAACTTTTTTTACAGCCCTATTGTTTATATTCAGCTTGTATTACCCATTCCCTTTAAAAACATGAAACACCAACAAATGTTTTAAAATCCATATTTAAAAATGAATTATACTTTAACCCTTGAGGTCAAATTTTTTCCCCATTCTTCGCTAAGTATAGTTTGCCATTAGAGCAGTCGGGAAAATGGCGGGCGGCGTCCTATACTCGCCATTCGACCGCAAAGGGTTAAGACAGCATAACTTAAACACATTCGCCTTAATTCAAACAAGTAGAATAGATTCTGCAGATTTCAAGAGCTCTAAGCCAGGATTTTTGATAAAGAGGCTTACCTTTATTACAGTCGATGGAGCTTAACTTACTCAATAGACAGAACAACACGGGAAGATAACTTAAATGAAAATTCTTCCTTTCAAAACCTCTACTAATACCAACCATATGAGCTAGTTAACATTACAAAAAGAGAATAGTAGGCTAATAAAAAAATCCAAGAGTGCTTACAGTTGCCTTCAATGTCTGCTTTGTGTCATGGAGGAGGTCCTTCATGATTTTTAACAGCATCACAGATTGTTTCTTGATTAGATCAAGTACCCTTTCCTTGGAATCTGTGTTTTTTTCCTCAATCAAACTTTTCACCTCCCACTGTATTGTATACAAACATATTGTTGCTGTAGGTGTAATAATGGCCTGTAATCATTTGAAATTATATGTATGTAAGCTAAGATTAAATGTCAGATTGAGAAAATATGACCAATGAATTTAAAAGTAATGCTAATCTTCCAACCTTATATGGGTTTTAAAGCTTTGATTAAACAATAGATAAAAAATGCCAAAATAAAATCTAATTAAAGTTTCTGAGTAGTGAGGAATAGTGTTTAGATGAGTTGGTGGCTCAGTCACACTTTGGCTACGAAGCAGCCATATCATGGGTTTGGATGCTAGTGCCTTAAAATGTATAAATAAAACCAAAAACAGTTTACAGCAGTAGGTAGCCAAGTTGTACATTTGCAAGTTGCAATTTCTAATAAAATTTTTTTAACTACATTAAAAAAAAACAATCTTTTTCAAGTTAAAGAAATATTGATTTATTAAAATATAATGTAATATAATCAAATTATTCAGGATTTCTGCTCACAATAAACAGGCTTTTCAGACAGCAAACTACAAAAAATATGTTATCTTACAAATAAATTAATACATAAAAAATAAAGTTTTATAAGTTTGACTTCTGTAAAATATTGTCAAATCAAACAATTATCACTAGTCACGGGCGCAGCTCAGTCGAAACAAAGGGGCGCCACGCAACAATAGCCAGACGCCGTCTCGAAGGGTTGTTTGTGACCACGCTTCACTATTAGGATTACCCGAACACACCAGTAACAGACAATAGACCCATGTCAACGGACTACTCAATAGAATCTTTGACATCCACCAGAAGCTTCCACGGCGATCTGTAAACAGCTTTGTCTGGGGTACTAGGATTCTCCAGAAGGTTCGTCACCAAATCTATATAAGGGACCGTCTTTCGGCTCACGCCAGTCTGAGTCTAGTCAGAGATCAGTGCAGTGACCGCACGCCGGTGTGAGTGACCAGTGTTGGTGACAGTAACAGTGACAGTAAAGGTGTAGTGACAGAAATAGTGATAGCTCCTGTAGAGGTTAGCTGTAAGGAGAGCATTGTAAATTAGAATAATCTCGTAATTAGCTAGGCTTAGGTAGGGTTAGTTAGGTGTTAGGGGATTGTAATTACTATACATAAAGAATATTAGTGTTAGTAAATAGCTATTATAAAATCACCAAGTTTTTATTGTAACAAACCTGTAAGCCGGCCACAAATATCACCTTGGTTAAACAATTGCACTTTAAGTTAAACACAATAATATTAACTAAAAATCTACATCATGGTGTCTACTAAACATGGTTTGAAAAATTCAAGGAGTTTTCCAAGAGAATTCAAGACAAATTCCTGAATTTTAAGAGCTATAATCGGAACCTGCTTAACTAATCGCAACCCGCTTATTATCAATGATTATTATTATTTAAAACAAAACTTTTCCAAAGAATGATATTTTATACAACATAATAAAACAGTATAACTGGTAGGTAAGGCGACACCAGTTATCATCTCCCGCGATCGTGGGAATACCGGTGAGCATATCTTGCAGTCTCGTCAACAACGGCAACCGATCGCGACATAACAGGTTCGCATATTTTATGATTTCAGCGACACCAATAATCGTTTCCCGTAGATATGTGCGAGTACTCGAGATTTCGAGTTCGAGTTAAGTACAACCTTGAAACTCAAGCTTATCTTTGAACTCGGCGGTTTCGAGCCGAGTCTGGTTTAATTTTGTAAAAAATCAATATTTGTTAAAATGTAACTTGTGTTTACATAAAATGATGGATGATTTTATTAACAGACTTATAATTATATAAGTTATAATTTATTATAACTTATTTCCCATAAACAACACAGACAATATTTATTTATTTAGAAAACCTTATTTATGACCTTATTTATTTAGATTCTGCAGTAATACAAATATTTCTACCGTGTAGAAATAAGCAAGAGGTAGTTGTCCTAACATATTTTTATAGCTGTCACTACAGAATAGGTCAACTCAAAGCAGTCGCTGGTGACTGACTGGCAATGGCATAATGACTTGACACAGAATGACATGATCAGTAGTGATTTTGTTTTAAAGTACTGTTTCACGATATAAAATTCCACCACTGAACTGTTACGTAAGCAATAAATTTATGTTTAAAAAAGTCAGAATAGAAACACTATAAGGGTCGCCATAGATCTTGACCGATGAATCGGCACTACTAGCCATCCTAAAAGTTTTCAACAAGCTATCGTCGGACCAGTGGGAAGGGTCGGGTCATAAACCCGCCTATTGTCCACCACTAGGGCGGCTCGACACTCATTAGTGCCGCTCGGTCGCACTCAGTAAGGAATCTGATACCATAAAATAATTCTCTTAAGGAATAAAAATAGTTGAGAATAATTGTGATATTGAGACACCTTGAAATTTCCAGTCTTTTTATGTAAAATTTGGAGTAAATCGGCCAATTATCACTTATTAATTTTTTCCAAAAGGGGTGTTGCCGAGTTAAGTCAAAATTTACAACAAATGAATTTAAAGACGATAAAACTATTATTTTCAATTGTTTTTAATCCTCGATTGAATTTTTATTCCTTGATTCGATTGACTAAGACGTCGTGCTGACTACGGCTCAGAGAAGCGTGAAGCATATACGATTGTAAGGTTTTATAACGATTAAAATTATTTATCATGAATAAATTTATATTAATTATGCCATTTTTATGTTTATATATTTATCGGATTTGGATGTTATAAAGTGATCACTGCCCCAAAGCTAACATAAATTGTTTGAAATTGGTATTGTAATATATCCAAATATTATACAGAAAAATCGGTTTAAATGTTATTTTTGGAATTTATATAGGTGTGTTCGAGCCCGATTTAGTGCAACTCAATTACTAGTACGTACAGTAATATCTCATTATGAAAAACGGTTATGGCGTGAAAAAATTAACAAGTACAATAACAATGTTCATAACATCAATATGGTCATTACTTACAACAATTTCCGGACTTCAAATTTACAAAGTCCGGACTGTTAAGTTAAAGTGTATAAACCCAGAGGTTGGGGCACATTCCCAAAATAGTACAGGTAAAATAATACAAAAACACTCCATATAAACAACAAAATTTGTACATTCATGAAATTTCACATGTGAGTTACTAATAATATGAGAAAAAATTAAAATCCGATGAGTCCCCAAAATTTTGGGCGTCCTAAGGCCCTTTTTGGGGCCTATTTGTTCCGAAGGGCCCTTGTTCCCGAATAATTTTGTTTTTACGTTTAAGGTCGAGTGAAGGGTGGTTTTCGATGGTTGTAGTTATTTTAAATCGATTGGGACTAGTTTTAAGTGTATTAAGCCACTCCATACAGGGTGTTTCGAAATATTATTACTTTTTACGATATTTAAACATTTATTCATAAAGTGATAAAATTAGTTACCTCCATGCTATATATAAAAGGGGATTATTGAAAATAACTGTAATTCTTTACTATATAAGAGGGAAGGATCACAAGATGTAAGAGAAAATATTAAACACCCCCGTCACAGCAAACCTGCAGACTAAGCGAATTTTCATTTGCCCGATTTTCAATTAAATCTAAAATAGCATTGAGTTTAATGAATACTTAGGTTTGCTGCTACAAGGAGGCTAATTAAGCGTGTTTATAGTAAAATATTAATAGCCTAGTATAAAACAAATAAATTTGACAAGTTTTATAAAGGCATACCTATAAACAAACAAACAAAATCATTTTACACTATTCTCCTTAAAAATGACATGGAATTTTAAATTTACAATTTTTGAATTTTATTCGTAACCAATACACTTACAAAACACGTTAATATACTTAATTATTTGTTTTCTTTAAGATCTTTAAAATGCTCTAGAGAAAAATTGGGAAACTTTGTCTTTTGAGGGTCAAAGATTACAAATTTTTACCACATAAAACCCTGTACCATGGACCGATTATGCCAGTTTCGTTAAAATTGAACCAAAATTACTCGAGTTATCATGTTTACGGACACGTATATAACATGGTATATATGTATATAAACACATACATAATATATTGAGTGGATGGTGCTTCAGGCTTCTGGGGGCATCGAAATGAAAACGTAAATCGGTTTCGGGTCTATGTTTTACCATAAGACCTTCGGTAATAGCTTATCTCCTATATGGGATGTTCGCTAAAAGGGAATGGATTAAGTTTTACACTATAACATAATAACATAGGTTACTAAGCAAAAATTTCAACTTTTAAGGTGGTGTGAATAATCTTTCAACGTGTTTTTATGCAAATCTATTAAGACCAATTTCAAATTGATATGTATTTTTCTTAGGTAGTTATTTAGGTAATATTTTTACATAAAAAAAAAAATTAAAACAATTGTATTTGTATAAAACCTTACATTACAATGAAGTACTTAAACTAAAGCTATTTTCTACAATTTCCGTAGTATCTTTCTTTACAATTCCATCATCACAATAATTATTCTCAGACGACTCATTTACAATTTTATTATTCTTAGCAACTTGTCCCTCTTTATTGATTTTGTCCAAGTTGGTGTTCAAGCAGAATTCCCCTTTACAAATCTAAAACCTTGCATATTGCAGGCAACAGGCAGCACCAATCTTAAAGCACGAACAATGTGGTGCAAAAACACCTTTCATACATACTGACGTTTGCAGATTGTATCTTAAGTTCCTCAAACTTGGTTAGGACGACCAGGACAGCACTAAGACATCAGAGCAGCATTGCCGGTACAAGCATTTTTGTTCTGAACAATGGGAACGAGGTTTATGGGGTAAAAATTGGGTTTTCTTATTAACTTTACCCTCAAAACACAAAGTTTCCCAATTTTTCTCTAGAACATTTTAAATAGCTTAAAAACAAATAATTTAGTATATTAACGTGTTTTTGTATGGTTATTAGTTACGGATAAAAATACTAAAATTGTAAATTTAAAATTCCCATGTTATTCTTATGTAGAATAGTGTAAAATGATTTTGTTTTTTTGCTAATAGATATATTTTGATCAAACTTGTCAAATTTATTTGTTTTATACTAGGCTAT